ATCGGCGAGCAGCACCGCGAGATGATCATAAAGGTCAATAGGTGAGCGGAGCGAAACTCCGCCCGGAGTTCGATGTCGGCCTCGTCCGGTGTCTCCACGCCGCCGTCGGCGAACGACTTCAAGTCGGCAATTTCCAGCTGGGGCTCAATCGACTCCGTCCACGTAATGAGGTTGTGCCGATCTTCCAGAAGATTGGCCACGACAATCTTGTTCGGCGGAAAATTAAAGTAGCCGTATGCCGGCGCGATCCCGCCCGCAGTCACGTGGGTTGCCGACGACGGCCCGACGGCACTTTGCTGGGGAGAGCGACATCGTCCGCCGGTGTCGCCGTGCAAGCTGCCCGCGGCCGCCGTCGACCGTTGTGCTCGCGCCTGCATTTCGCGACATCCTCGTTGGCGGCCCGCGTGACTCCCTCGCTAACAACATGATCACCGCCGTGGACCATGTTATCGACACCACCTTCGTTGCGCACGGGTCAAGGAGAAGCAGACGCACTGTCTGCTTCAAGTCGGGAAGGGTGATTGCGTGCCCACTGCGCACGAGTGCCTAGGAGGAGCACCTCCAAGGGGGCTTCGCCGAACTCGCCAGCTGTGTGGTGTCGTCGAACATCAGCCTCATGCGCCTCCAAGCTATCCTCTACTCCGCCAGCCTCTGCCGAGGTAGGCGTCATGGTCTGCACGGGCTGCCGGCCTAACGACGACTTAGGTACGCGGTAAGTCGACTAATAATCTGAAGGTATTTTGCGGGGCCGTCCATGCTCACCGCACCATGCGGAGAGTCACTCAACAACGGTGGGAGCTGTACTACGGGTGAAGGCATGAGTGGTTTGAGTGATCGTAGCTGTGCTTGTGTTCTCTAGAACTTGTGCGTTCACTGGGTAAAACATCAAGAGTTTCATTAGCAAAGGTTGAGAACAACAATGAATAGGAATTGCAATGGTAACAATGACTACATCAGATGCAAAGAAGCCTAGCAAACAGGCAGGTCGACTGCCAGCCCAGCAAAGTAGGCGACCTGCCAGTACTGCAGATTGGCACCGCACCAGCACTGGAGAAATGCGGTGTGCCAATCCAGCAAGGGCGGTGGCTTGCCAGCGCTGCACCAAGGCGACTTGCCAATGCTGCAGCAGGGCGGCCTGCCAGCATTTCAACTGCAGGTGACAACACATGCGTATACCCACTTTGCATGTGTTTGTAGACGGTTGAGCACGACGTGCACCGTCACGCACATCACCCAGATGCCAAATTGGCCACATGCCAACAGTTGTGTCTGATGAGCCACGTCGACCACATGCTGCTGTGTTGGTCGACTTCGCCACAACAACCTAGACGATGTGACCACACTTCCGCATAACCTTGTCGATGTCCTGCGCACACTTCCCGCGCACCGCGGGCAGTTGACTACACTTCCTGCGCACCCGACTGCACGGGCGGCTTCGCCCAAGCGAGGGCGGGGCCATTTACCGTCAACACATCCGACCGCCCAAAACATTCAAACAGTGGATATTGCGTTATTCACTCCTACAATAGCCTACCGGGACAACACCAAAACGTTGAGATGTTGTGGAAGGATCTCCATACCACGTGTTCCAGCCATGCCATGTGGTACAACCTAAGGGTCACGGTGCCGTTCACCATCCTCGGCTTGTACGCAGCACGAGCACATGCCGCAAATGCTCCAGACGCAAACGACATGTCGCGCATGTCCTCACTCCACCTGAATGTAGCATGGAGATCTACGCATCCAGTGTGTCACAAAAATTTCAGGTACATCAAACCATGCTCCGCGTACATACACTCGCATCCCCCTTGTGCTTTCCCTCCCCCTCGAGTGTTAGGCGGACGCACCCCTTCACCCTCGTAGCTGTGCGTTACTTTGGTGCCGCCCATGGGCTTTTGGCATCGCGCTCATCTCGGAAAAGGCCGACTTGGAAGGTCTGCAGCCGCCGTCTTCCAGTCGCTCCGTGTGCGGTTAAGATCAAAGCGCCGAGCTTTGTTCCCCGCTATGGCAAGATTCGCCTAACTCGAAGTCAGGTGATCGATGACAGCGCAGAATTTGGCAATCTTTGCCGCGCTGCTTGGATAAAATCTAATCGATGAGAACTCCATGCTTAGGAACAGGTGAACCCTCACCTGCTCAAATATTTCCTGTAAAGAAAGACACGCAGAAAAGACGCACGGGTCATGTCACTCAACATTGGAGACACCTCACTGCCAACACTTAAAACCAAACAAACAAATACGCTCGAACTCCTGCGCGACTGGATTAGTAACACACCTTCCACCCTTTGTCGGCCGAGAGGATCCTGAACGCCCGTTGAAGGACTGGAGAGCTAGAGGTCCGTACGTGACGCCCAATGTTGTCCTCCACCTCCTCCTCCTCAATTGATGCCTCGGGTGACGACACACGACGGGGGTTTTTCAGCGCATCGCATCCCATCGCACGCCCCGCTTCCAATGGTGCATTTGACTCGGGTGCAGGTGGAGCTGGCGGCGCTTCAGTGCGTTCGGGATCGTCCGCAAGTTCAGACACCTTACGTCGCTTCTTGGTGCGGGCAGGTCGTCCATCCTCATTCGACGTTGCAGGGGCCGCCCTTTGCCGAGTGGAAGCCGGGTCCCTAGAGGACGAGCTCTCGCTCTGGCATGCATCGCGTATAGTTGGTGATGGAAAGCGCGCAAATCTGGAGAGCGTACAAGAGATTAAGTCCGCCGACTTCCACGAAACATTGCGTGCAGCTCACGTAACCTTAAACTATGAGCAGGTACGCGTTGGAAAGGTCTTAATCTCTAATTTTCAGAATAGTAACGCCCGCCCTCAACCAAGATTTAGGCCGATCGCTATCGCGATTTAAGAGCGACGGGGTGTCCTGGCGGAATTACTTGGCAGCCATGGATTAGATATAGGAATGGCTTAAGCTAGAGTTCAGATCTGATAAGTGACGAGTTTGCCAAACCCTACCATCCCAACCCTCGCCATACAACAATCCCCAACAACCCAAAATGCCAAACTAGCAACACCAAAGGTGTTGTTGTGGGTAGCAAAGGTTTGTTGGCGCTTGTTTGGTGCGAGATCAAATCCAGCCTGTAACAAGTCTAGCAATCATATTTTGCCCAAACCCTTAGCCCACAACCAGCTAGAGCAAAATACCACAAACACCTACACAATCAACACTCCCCCTTGCTCGTGCTGGAGGTGGCTGAACACCACTGGGCAAAATCCTTCACTCCACTCCCCCTTGCCCAGGGAGGGGCGCCATCCACAGCATGATGTCGTCAAGGCAGAGAAGCACCAGCCCTCCCACATCCTGCTCAAGCACCATGCCAACATGGGGCTGCATCCCCATCAAGGACATGCAAACACCGTGCCGCTCAAAAGGAAAGGGTTTGGTGAGTATGTCTGCTGCTTGACGGTTGGTTGGGCACCACCGGAGGATCACCTCACCGCTTGCCACCATCTCCCTGATGAAATGCCACCGAACCTGCATGTGCTTGGTGCGGCCATGCAAGCATGCATTCTGTGCAAGGGCAATGGCAGACTGATTGTCCACAAACACAAACACACCACCAGCAAACTCATGCCCAAACTCCCCAAACAAACGCTTCAGCCATACACCTTCCAGAATGCACTGAGACTTACTAATGTACTCACTCTCAGTGGTGGACAATGCAACCACCAGCTGGCTCTTGCTCTGCCAAGTGATGGCTGCACCATTAAGGCAATAGACATAGCCGGTGTGACTCTTGCGATGAGCTGAATCTCCAGCATAATCAGCATCACTAAAGCCCACCAACTCAAATTGAGGCTTGCTGTGTGCGGGGTAGAAGATACCTGACTTGACACAACCTTTCAGGTACCTTAGCACTCTCTTAGCACCCTATAGGTAAAATGCCTTGGGACAAGACACCACCTTGGACAGCTGTGACACTGCATAAGCAATCTAGGGCTGTGTGGTCGTGCTTGCATACATGAGAGACCCCACAATGCTTTGATAGAGCTGGACCAGCTCATCTCTCAGCAAGGGCTCCTCAGCATGTGGATGCACATCGAACCGTGTAGGAAGAGGGGTACGCACGGGGTTGGCCTCGGAAAGGCCAAAAGACTCAAGTATATTGAGAATGTACCTCTCCTGATGAATCAAGATGCCACTCTCATCACGCTCAATCTACACCCCCAAATAGTACTTAGCCTCCCCCAAGTCCTTCATGCGGAAACGAGAGGACAAGAGACCCTTCACCTCGTCCAACAAGACCATGCTCGAAGACATAAGCAGAATGTCATCCACATAGAGGTAAAGGGACAACCTGCCCTCATCCCTCACCAAGTGGTACAAGGCAGGGTCACACTCAGACCTCTCAAAGCCAAAATCCATCAGCGCCTCATCAAACTTGAGGTACCACTGCCTTGGAGCTTGCTTAAGCCCATAGATTGATTTTCTGAGTCGGCAAACTCTGCCGGACCCATCATCAAAACCAAGGGGCTGCCTCATGTAAAGCTCCTCCTTCAAGACCCCATGAAGATAGGCAGTGGTCACATCCATGTGATGGATGTGAAACCTCGAGGAGGCTGCCATCCCAAGGGAGCCTCCTAGGGTAGTAGGCTTACCCACCGGGGTAAACACCTGGTCATAGTGAACACCCCGTGTTTGAGTCTTCCCCGTGGCCACCAATCTGGACTTAGGCCTCTCAATGTTACCATCAGCCTTGTGTTTGTACTTCCAGACCCACTGACACTTCAAGACCTCCATACCAGGTGGCACACAAGCTGGATCAACCAGCTCAAAGGACTCGTTCACCTTATGAGACTCAAGCTCCTCACGCATGGACTCGACCCACTCAGGACGGGACAAGGCCTCCTTGACTGACTTAGGCTAATATACCTGACCCATAAGACAAAAAGCAAGTCCATGCGCACCCCCATCAGCATCCACAAGCATGCACTCCTCCAAATCATGCACCTCATGATCATGCATGCAAGCATACTGTGCACTTGGTGTGAACCTCTCAGGTGGCCGGGAGATGCATGTGGTGCGGCGCAGAGGTGATGCCTCCCCCTGCTCCAAACTTTGCAGCTTCTCCCTCCAAGTTTTGAGAGAATTGACGAGAGAAATAAGTGAGAAAGGATGATTGCACTAGAAAGCAATTGGGTACATATAGGAAACCCTAACAGGGTTGTACTCACTATTGAGTACCCCACTGCAGACTAGAGAAACATGATATTCTGACACACCCCCATAGTCAAAGTGGGGTATGATCAGCACAAGAAGCAAAGCAAAGCAAGCTCAGGGTGGATCACAATGTCACCACACATTCTGAGCACAAGTACAAGAAGCAACAGTTTATAGTTCACAGCAAATAAGTAAAGCTAGAGGCTATCACAGAGGGCAAGTGAGGAGGAGGAGGCTGGACTAATAGGAAAGGAGAGAGGGGGCAACGGCGGAAGCTGCAGACACACGGGCAACAGGAGCGGCTCGCACTGTGGCTACCGGAGGCGCACCTCCGGACTACAGGAGTAACTGGCCCCGCGGCTAAGACGAGCGGCAGGAGCAACGGACCCACGGGCGACTGCCGCAGCGGCATCACTGGGCTACCGGAAGCGCACCTCCGGACTACTGGCACTGCTAGCAACACGACGGCTACCTCCACCCAACCTCCCTCTACTGCCGCACCCCCCATTCACACACCCCCTGCTACACCCCTAGGTTCACTCACACCCCACCCCCTAGCACCACTCCGTCGACTCACACACACCCATCCCCCTCAGCGGCAGCTGCAGCAGTGGGAGACGGAGTAGGAGGAGGAGCAGGGGATGCCACACACCCGCCACCCCCATACCCTCCCCCACTGCTGCACCTGCAGCAGGGGATGGAGGAGAAGGGGCGGGGGGGGGGGGGGGGGGGGGGGTGCTGTGCATGGCGCGTGCAGAGGGCAGCAGGGCGCACGGGGCGCACAGGGCAGCAGGGCAGCAGGGCGCGCGGGGCGCAGAGGGCAGCAGGGCGCTGCACACCCGCCACCCCCATACCCTCCCCCACTGCTGCACCCGCAGCAGAGAGATGGGGGGGGGGGGGGGGGAGGGGGGGGGGGGCGGGGGGGCAGGCAGGTGCTGCAGGTCCCCTCCCCCCACTGCCGCATCCGCACCAGGGGGATGGCAGATCCCCTCCCCCCACTGCTGTACCCGCAGCAGGGGGAGGTAGGAGAAAGGGGGGGGGGGGGGGGGGGGGGGGGGGGGCAGGTGCTGCAGGTCCCCTCCCCTCCTCTGCTGCTCCCCCAGCCAACACTGCACCAGGGGCGGCTGCACCAGGGGCGGCTGCTCCAGGGGCGGCTGCACCAGGGGCGGCTGCTCCGACGCGTGGCCCCCCCCCCAGGTCGCCCCTCCCGTCGCCTGTTGAGGCGACCTGAGGGGGGGGGGGGCAGGCAGGTGCTGTAGGTCCCCTCCCCCCACTGCCGCATCCGCTCCAGGGGGATGGCAGATCCCCTCCCCACCACTGCTGCACCCGCAGCAGGGGGAGGGAGAGGAGAAAAGGGCGGAGAGGAGGGGGGTCCAGGGGCGGCTGCTCCAGGGGCCAGGGGCCAGGGGCGGCTGCTGAGGTCCAGGAGCGGCTGCACCAGGGGCGGCTGCTCCAGGGGCGGCTGCTCCAGGGGCGGCTGCTCCAGGGGCGGCTGCACCAGGGGCGGCTGCACCAGGGGCGGCTGCTCCAGGGGCTGCTGCACCAGGGGCGGCTGCTCCAGGGGCGGCTGCACCAGGGGTGGCTGCACCAGGGGCGGCTGCTCCAGGGGCGGCTGCACCAGGGGCGGCTGCTCCGACGCACGGCCCCCCCCTCCAGGTCGCCCCTCCCGTCGCCTGTGGACGCGACCTGAGGGGGGGGGGGAGGGGGAGTTCGGGGACGCGCGGCCTCCCAGGGCGCCAGAGCAGGCGGAAGAAGGGGCGACGCGCGCCCCCGCGCGCCCCCCCCCCCCCGCTCGCCACGCAAGGCGACGGGAAAAGGGGGGGGGGGGGCGGTGCACGGGCCCCTGGTGCGCCACGACCGGCATGAGGGGGGCGGGGCCTGGGCAGGGTCGGGGCATGGCAGGGGCAGGGCCGCGATAGGGCCGCGACAGGGTCGGGGCAGGGCCGTGACAGGCTCGGGACAGGGGCGGCGCAGGGCCGGGGCAGGGCCGGGGCAGAGCCGGGGCAGGGCCGGGGCAGGGTTGGAGCAGGGCCGGGACAGGGCCGGGGCGAGGCCGCGACAGGTCCGGGGCAGGGCCGGGGCCGGGCCGCAGCAGTGCAGGAGCAGGGCAAGGGTAGGGCAGGGGCAGGGTAGGGGCAGAGCCGGGGCCGGGTCGGAGCAGGGCCGTAGAAGGGGCCGGGATAGGGCTGCGACGGGGCCGCAGCAGGGCCGCGACAGGTCGGGGTAGGGCCGGGGCAGGGCCGGAACAGGGCCGCAACAGGGTGGGTGGGGGCCTGACGGGGCCTGACGGGGCCTTACGGGGCCTGACGGGGCCTGACGGGGCCGCTAACGGGGCCTGACTGGGCCTTACGGGGCCTGACGGGGCCTGACGGGGCCATTAACAGGGCCTTACGGGGCCGTAAACGGGGCTGACGGGGCCTTACGGGGCCTTAAGCGGGGCCGTAAACGGGGCCTTACGGGGCCTAACTGGGCCTTAAGGGGCCTTACGGGACGGGGCCGTAAACGGGGCCGACGGGGCCTTAAGGGGCCGTACGGGGCCGTAAGTGGGGCCGTAAACGGGGCCTTACGGGGCCGTAAACGGGGCCTGACGGGGCCTTACGGGGCCTTAAGGGTAGGCGCGACGCGCGCGGCAGGAAGGTGAGGAAAAATTTCAGTTGAAGACGTGGTGGGCCCTTAGGATCGAAAGTTGCTCTATACCATGTGAGAGAATTGACGAGAGAAATAAGTGAGAAAGGATGATTGCACTAGAAAGCAATTGGGTACATATAGGAAACCCTAACAGGGTTGTACTCACTATTGAGTACCCCACTGCAGACTAGAGAAACATGATATTCTGACACAAGTCACTCTCTTCATGGGGACCGTGGTCACTTGGACAGCTGCTGCTGCAATAGTTGCTGCCACCTACCCACAGGAACAGGCTGTGTATGCCACTGTGGTGGCTGCTGCGGCTTCTCTTATTACTCCTGCTGCCCCTGTGGCTGCTCCGGGTCTTGGGCTGGTGCGTTAGGGTCAGGGGTAGAACCAGCAGTTGGTGACTCCTCATGGTGAGGTGCAGTTGCCTTTTGTTCCTCTTGCTGCTCCTGTACCTCCTCTCCAGAGTCCTCCCATACCCCCTCAAAGATGGAAGAGGTGTAGGGATCCTGGAGGGAGCTCCCAACTGTACTAGCACCATGCTTCTTCCACCCCTTGTAGCTCAGCCCCTCGTGGAAAACCACATCTTGGCTTTCCACCACCCGCTGAACCACCACACTCCACAACATCCAAGCTTTGCTCCTCTCCGACACCCCAAGGAAAATGCCCCATTGTGCCTTAGGATCCAGCTTCCTCCGTTGCTGGTCGGGCACTTTGTACTGCGCCATGCACCCCCACACGCGTGCCATCGACACACTAGGCACCTTCCTGGTCCACATGAAGTATGGGCTCTTGCCCTCTAGCCCATTGCTGCCCATCCGGCTCTTAGCCCAGTTGGCATATTGTACTGCTGCCCCCCACCAAGTATGGTCCCCCCACCATGAGCAAGCATGGCTCGGGCAAGGTCAATGAGGGTCTAGTTTAGCCTCTCCGCTGCCCCATTTTTCTGCGGTGTGCAGGCAACTGAAAGCTGGTGGGTGATGCCCTTGTCTTCAAGGAAAGACTCCAGATCCTTCCCCATGTACTCCCCACCCTGATCACACCTAAGTATTTTCACCTTGGCCCCGACTTCCCTCTCCGCACAGCGTATCCAATGCTTGAAGACCTTGGTCACCTCATCCTTGGTTTTCACCAAGGTAACCCTACTTAGGCGGCTGAAGTCATCCAAGAAGGTGATGAAGTATTTGCTGCCCTTCTCCCTATCCAGTGTTTGCATGGGGCCACACACATCCGTGTGCACCAACTCAAGAGGTGCGGAGGCTCTAGTGGTGGAGGTAGGAAAGGAGGTCCTTGGCAGCTTCCCAGTCGAGCAATCAGGGCACTTGCTTGGCTGCCCACCACCCTCCTTGATCTCCACACCCTTCAGCTCCCCCTTCTTCACACACTCCACAAGTTGCTGCCTTGCGTAGGTGCAGCAAATCACCTGCTCCACCTGCTCCACGTCCCTCCAACGGGTGCTGCAAGCGGCATCCTCGGATTCAACCCAGTGTGCCTTCTCCACGTGAGGCACACACACTGGAACAAGGTATAAACCCTTCTCTAACTTGGCCTCCATCACCACAGCTCCACCCTTGCGAACCGTGCACCCTCCAATGGTGAAGGTGCATATGTATTCTTGCCTCGCAAGTTGAGAGCATGAGAGAAGGTTGACTGCCAATCCAGGAACATGAAGCAAACCCTTCACATTCAGCACCCCCCCCTCCTTCCCCTTGACGGTGATGGTGCCGATGCCGATTGCTTGCAGCGTATCTCCGCTCCCCACAATCACATTTCTGGAGTTAGGTGGGAGGGAGTGATAGGTGGTGAAGAGGTCGCGCCGAGGTACCATTTCACAGGTTGCCCCTGAGTCTAGAATGAGCTTATTGGAGTCAGCCAACACACGACCAACAAGCGCCGTCTCCTTCTCCAAGGATAAGAAGGAGAAACCATCATCCGATGAGTCCTCCTTTCCCAACTTATCCTCGTTTGCCGCCGCTGCTGCCGCTTTCTCTTTGCTGCCCTTCTTGTTCCATGCTCCATTCTTCATCCTCCTCTTCACCCACTCAGGCCTAGTGACAGGTGGAGCCTCTCCTGGGTACCCTTGAGGCTTCCACCCATCTGGTCGGCTCCAACACTCCTTCCAAGAGTGCTTCCAGTTGCATCCAGGGACGAGGCATTTGTCGAGCTCCTTCTTCTTCCCCCCACCTCCTTGCCGCTGCTGGTACTTCTTGGAGGCAGCCCTATCACCTGCCCCCATTCCCCCTCCCATTCCTCTTCTAGCATCACGTTTGCGAGCCTCATCAGAAACCAAAACCTCCCATTCTGCTGCTCAAGGTGAAGGTACTGCAGTAGGGCCTCGTTCGCCTCTTGGTCCAGCCCCTGGAGTGCGGTGTAGATTATCTCCTTCTCATCTACTTTGTAGTTCAACTCCTCTAAGGCCCTGACATATTCATCCACCCTCTGGAGATACTGCACCATGGTCTACCCATCACCATAGTTGCGTTCCATGGTGTAGAACCGCTTCCTCCAGGTGAGTATGCTTAGCAACCCTTTTTGCAAATGTCTATCTTGAACTCTCTTCCATGCTTGGGCAGCTGCTCCCTGCTTCCCCTTCAGGTCAATCAGCATCTTTAGGAGCTCTTGTTGGCCTTCCAAATCCCAACACAGGTACTGGAACGCTTGCTTGTCCTTGCGGTCCCATGCTTCTTGTGCCTTAAGTAGCTCCTCTACACAAAGCCGGTGCCTTCCTGTTTGCGGTGCTGCTGATCCACCTCCACTTCCCTCACTTATAGATGAGCTAGAGGCTCCCCCAGCCCCTGCTCCCTCTTGGCTAGACACTCCAGCAGATGCCTCTGCTTCATCAGCTCCAGGTCTTCGCTCCGATCCCTCCAAAACGCCTTCTAGGTCTTTGATACCTAGCCAAAGCGTAAACTGGAACTGCCAAAACGAAAAATCCGAGCCGGTGAACCTAGGAGGGCCATCTAATTTATGGGCCATGACCAACCCTAGATCTGGAGGTCCTTAAACCAATTCGAAATTTGATGAAAATAGGGAATGTCGCAGGCCTAACCAGCTCTGATACCACTGATAGAAAGCGCTCGAATCTGGAGAGCGTACAAGAGATTAAGTCCGCCAATTTCGACGGAACATTGCGTGCAGCTCACGTAACCTTAAACTATGAGCAGGTACGCGTTGGAAAGGTCTTAATCTCTAATTTTCAGAATGGTAACGCCAGCCTTCAACCAAGATCTAGGCCGATCGCTATCGCGATTTAAGTGCGACGGGGTGTCCTGGCGGAATTACTTGGCAGCCATGGATTAGATATAGGAATGGCTTAAGCTAGAGTTCAGATCTGAAAAGTGACGAGTTTGACAAACCCTACCATCCCAACCCTCGCCATACAACAATCCCTAACAACCCAAAATTCCAAAATAGCAACACCAAAGGTGTTGTTGTGGGTAGCAAAGGTTTGTTGGTGCTTGTTTGGTGCGAGATCAAATCCAGCCTGTAACAAGTCTAGCAATCATATTTTGCCCAAATCCTTAGCCCACAACCAGCTAGAGCAAAATACCACAACCACCTACACAATCAACAGTTGGAACGTGTGATGACGCTGCGGAAAACGTGAAGAATGCGGATTGGAAGCCACGGAGGTAAAAAATGTTAAGCATTGACGGATGGTGAACATCATCAACAACACCTCGTTCGGATGTCACGCTAGGTGGAGTGCGTGCTGCCGCTCATTTCTTCGGCACTACCGGTGCCTTAGGCACTGGTGGACGCTTGGAGGTTCCATGTAGCACGTAGGACTGCTTCAGGTGCAGAGGAGGCTGAGTATTTGCCATTTACCCTCTCTAGACACCCGCATGTTGGTTGTTTATAAAGGTCCTCCGTCCACCATTTGTGCGCCAAGTTTATGCGAGTGGTATGAACGTCCACCCACGATCTTAACCTGACGTGGCAAACACCGTGTTGTTTAGAATTCCAGTTTCCAATCATAAGACGGCACCTCAATGCCAATGACGAAGTTCTTATCCCTCGCGGACAGACGCAATTGTGTCGAGTTTATTGCACACATGCCCCACACCAATAAAGAAACAACAATATGTACACACTCAATGTTTTTCCACAAAATGTCTATGATAACCTCCATGATACAAACTCAAGATCCCAAACACTGTCCGACCTTACGCTTACACAACTACTGAAATAACGCCATCTCCCACTCCTTATATGCTCATCTAGGCAAAT